GCGCTGGAGCGAGGCCCGAAGGGAGTCCCAACATGGTGCGGTGCGTGGGCGCCGTTCTCGTACAAGAGGCGGGGGCCTGGGGTCAAAGAGGCGGGGAGTCTGGAAGTAAGCTCAGGCATCTGTTACCATTTCGCTGCTGTCGGCTCCCTGGGGAGGGTGAGCGCAAGCTCGTGGAGGAGACCAGGTAGGGCGGGGGGGCGGAGGGAGGAGGGGGGAGGATGGAGGGTGGCAGGGGGAGGGAAGGAGGCACGGGAGGAGGGAAGCAGGGAATAGATGGAGGGAGGTACGGGAGATGGAGAAGGGAGGAGGGGGGAGGAATTAGGTGGGAGGAGAGAGAGGGGGACTGATGATGGTGGTGGTGGTGATAATGGTGGTGATGATGATGATGATGATGATGGTGATGATGAAGATGATGATGATGAAGGGTGATGCTGATGATGCTGATGATGCTGCTGCTGATGCTGATGATGGTGATGCTGATGCTGATGATGGTGATGCTGATGCTGACGCTCTTGCTGATGATGATGATGATGCTGCCGCTGATGATGATGCTGATGATGATGATGCTGATGACGAGGATGACGAAGATGATGCTGCTGATGATGATGCTGTTGATGATGCTGCTGCTGATGATGCTGCTGATGCTACTGATGATGCTGATGATGCTGCTGATGATGATGCTGATGATGCTGATGCTGATTATGATGATGATGATGATGATGATGATGATGATGATGATGATGATGCCAATGCTGATGATGCCGATGATGATGATGATGATGCTGATGATGATGATGATGATGATGATGATGATGACGATGATGATGATGATGATGATGATGATGATGATGATGATGATGATGATGATGATGATGATGATGCTGATGATGATGATGATGATGATGATGATGCTGGCGGCGGTGGTGATGCTCATGATGATGGTGTTGTCGACGATGATGAGGAGGAAGACGAGCAGGGGGGGGGCTCGACGGAGGAAGATTATGTGGGGAGTTGAGCGGCAGGGTAATGGTGGAGTGGCCAGTTTTCCTTCCTGGGGGGTGCCGTGAGGCCAGTGCCCGTTCGGTCCGTGCTTGCAGCCTTTGCTGCGGCTCCTCTTCCCCTTCTTCCCTCCCTACCTTCGTCCTCCCCCCTCCCCCTTTCTCAACCTCCCTCCTCCTCCCTTCCTCCTCCCTCCTCCTTCCTCCCTCCTCCCTCTCTCCTCCCTCCACAATTACTCAATATGAAAATACTCTCCCTCTTCCCCTGATGGCGTCCCGGTGATGGCCGCGCACCCTCCGCGTACTGTTTTTTTACACACAGGATTCCCGGGAAATCCCGGGAAACGACTCTCGCTGAGGCGCCGGCATCATTTTTTCCCTAAATGCTGCTCTCGTTGAGGCGCCGGCCTCATTTCTGCTCCCGAATCGTTCCGAATCGTGCTCCCGCTGCAGCGTGGGCCTCATTTTCGGATCGGTGTTTGGCCTCCGTCGTTCAGGATGGCGTTCTCGCCCCAGCGCGGGCCTTTTTTCTCGCGCGCCCATCCGCCCGCCACCACCGCGCCGCACCGCCACCACCACCACCACCACCACCACCACCACCACCACCACCACACCAGCACCAGTACCAACACCACCACCAGCCCACCACCACCACCACCAGCACCACCACCACCACCACACCACCACCACCACCACCACCACCACACCACCACCACACCACCACCACCACCACCACCACCACCACCACCACCACCCCACCACCACCACCACCACCACCACCACCACCACCACCACCACCACCACCACCACCACCACGACAACCACGCACACACGCACGCACGCACGCACGTGCACCACCACCCACTACGCACGCGCGCGCGGAGCCACAGGCCCTCAACGACACGCGTCCGCGGATAGAGAAAATCAGCGCCATGGTAAGGGATGGGAGGGAGGGGTAGGACGTCAGATATGACGCGAGCGCACCTAGCTCGTCCTTCACCCCTCCCTCCCTCCCTCCCTCCCTCCTACCTTCCTCCGCCTCCCCCCTTACCTCCCTCCACCCTCTCCTTCGGCCCAATTCCTCCTCCCTCCTCCATCCTTTCCTCCCTCCTTCGTCCCTTCTCTTCCGCTTCGCAGCAATGCGAGCGGCTGCTCCTCCGAGCTCGGACAGCGAGCCAGTGGCGCGGCGCCGGCCAGGCCTCGCCAGCAGACGCCCACTGAGAGGCCCACCCGCGCCCTGCCCTGGGCAAGCCGCGATGCTTCTCGCGCTCCAGGCTCGGGGTGGCATGGCCCGCTCGACGACGACGATGACGATGCCCACGCACTTCTGCGCGGCGCGCGTACTCTTCGATGCGCACCGGCCTCGTACCGAGGTCCCGCAAATACTGCGGGACCAGGACGCACTGGCGAATCGCTTGGCCAATGAAGCGACCCTCTCCTGCCCTCTCGGGACCGTGCACTCCTACTTCCCCCCAGCACCTCGCTGGCCGAGCCCACGGCGGAGGCGCGGACGCAGGCGATCGCCGCCCACGCCGCGGTGGTGGCCCACGCCAGGGGCGCCCGTCGGTCCCGCCGCGCTCCGCGCAGCGCGCCACCCGCGGGCGGCCCGTCCGCTCACCGCCCGCGGCGCGGCCCTGCCGGCGGAGCCTCTCCGCGGCGACGGCGACGACGACGACGACGACGACGGCGACGACGGCGACGGCGACGGCGAGCGCGAGGTGTGCGAGCGCGAGGTGCGCGGCGCGGGTGTGGCTGCACAAACATTAGCATGTGCGTCAGGAGCAATTGGATCGCGTGGCGCTCCCTTGGTTCTGGCCTGCCACGCTTCGGTGCGACACGCTATCCCCTTCCCAGGCCCCCAGCGCCAAGGTTCCGAGCCTTTTGCCTCTTCCCGCCCCGCGGAGCGGAGCGTCATGCCATCCGCTCGCAAGGCATACCGCGTCGCTTGGGCCGCCGTGGCGACACGCTATCCACAATTCAGACGTAAGCTGTCCGCACAAGGTTGCGCGTGAACGCTCTCGTTTTCAATGGAGCTTATCGCGCTGGCGGCCCGCGTAAGCCGCGGCGCAAGGTTGCCTTGTCTGCTCGCGTGCTTAGCTGCCCTGATACGCCCGTCTTGAAACGCAGCACGTGCCGTGTTCCAAACGTACGTGCTGACACGCTGCGTGTTGGCCCAGCACGTGCTGGTCCGCGTTTTGGCGCACGTGTCGCGCCAAATGTGCGTTTTCAGTCTACGTGTTGCGCTACGTGGGGCGTTCCAGAAAGGGCCTTGTCCTGCAGGATCGAAGGAGCTGCCATCTCTTCCGCGGCGGAATGTGGTGGAAGGGCGGCGGATGGGCGGCGGAAGCAACACGAGGCCGCCTCCGCCGGCGGAAGCCGGGAGCGGGACCGAGGCACAGCTGCCTCTTCCGCCTCGCGCCTTCCCCTCCCTTAGGGCACCATCCCTTTCGGTTGCGCCGCGACAAGTTGCTGTTGTTTTCAGTTGCCCCGGCGAAGCTTCCTTGGGATAAGGAGTAGCGTCCAAGAAGGAAGGCCAGCGGAAGGCGGCGTAGGTAAAAGATGTGCACCCACAAAACTCAGAAGGCTTGTGGGTCCAGGGCTTCCGAGATCGCCCACGCGGCAGCACGCCACGTGTTGCGTGTTGCGTACTGGGGCGGCGCGAAGCCCTGCTCTTTTCGTCGCTCAGGTGCCAATGGGGCCCAAGGACACGCAAATGGATATACACACAAATAACGAGGCTCCCCATGTTTTCCCATAGTTTCTGGGTTTTTGTCTTCCCCCCACTTCCCATATTTTCCAACGTTTTCCCCGGGAGTCGACGATTGATTGTGTCTGTGTGTTTTTCCCCTCCTGCAGGTGGTCCCCCTCTCCTCGGCAGTGCCAGCGCCGCCCGCGCGCGCGCGTCGGCGAGGGCCGCGGGCTCTCGGGGGGGGGCCTCGAAGATGGCCTCGTGGGGGCTCCGCGGCCGCCCCAGTCGGTCTTTTCCCACCGAGCGCGTTCCGCGACTCACAAAGTGCCTACTCGCAAGCGTTCGAAACAACACAGTCCTCCCACATGTCATGGATCGTAGATCCCCCACGGCGGATCCTCGCCATCTGCGAGTAGTTACTTTGCGAGTAGTGGAACGCGCTTGCCTTTTCTCCCATAGCTGCATCGATACGCCCGTTCTGATAAACAACACGTACCGTACTCCAAACGTCCGTGCCAATACTCAAGCAGTGGCGAAGCGTCCTGGCGTGCCTATAGGCCTACCAAGCAATGTTCTGAGAACCTTTTGTGGCTTCCACGAAATGTTCTGAGAACATTTCTGGCCGGGGCTGTCTTGTTTTAACACATCGGGCTTACGTTCTAAGTGTTCTTCTTGTTCTTAGAGCATTCCCTGGGTTCTAAGAAACTTCCGTGGTAGGCCTATAGAAATGCGGGACGGTCGGTCCCTGCTCAAACGATGGCCCTTGAGATGGCCTCACGTGGGCCCCGCGGCCGCCCCAGTCAGTCTTTTCCCGTAGCTGCATCGATGCGCCCGTTTTGAGATGCAGCGCGTACCGTACTTCAAATAGTCCGTGTCAATACGCTGCGTGTAGGCTCAGCGTATCGGCCCACGTTGTGGCGAGCGTGTCGCGGCGGGCCTGCGTGTTCCGTCTGCGTGTTGTGCTCCCTATCAGTACGCTACGTGCTGCGTGTTCCGCATCTGCCTTATCGTGGAGTTCTCGTGGAGTTGCTGTGTTTTTCTTGGCCTCATCGTGAAGTTGCTGTCTTTTTGCGGCTTCGGTTTGCTTCAGAAGCCGAGGAGCCGCGGGGCGCCAAAAGACCCCCGAGAGAGCCGCAATCCCTCGCGCCCGCCAGGAGAGCAGCACACGCCCAGCTGTCTTGCCCAGCACCGCGTTTTCTACATTCTTTGGCACACGACGGTGCCCCGTCGATCCTCTCAGCCCCTACAGTCGGGGCCCTGAAGAAGGAACCCTTCTCGTTGGGGAGGGGCTCCGTGTTCCTTGATCGTTTCGC